ACAACAGTGTAATACCTGTCAAGAGACATAAAATTGTTTATATCTCATGAGCTACTTAATAATCTCATTTCTGGGAAATTATCCCAATAGAAGAATTCAGCTACCTAGGGATATTATATATGCACAGATTTTGTGCTTGCATTATTGAAAAATGTAATAACCCTTGTGCCCAACTGATAGTAAGGTTACCTAGATAGCTTAGGTTATGTCATTCTACTGGAATACTATCTAGAGTATTTAAACAGAGTGGCTTATATGCTCATGCCAAATCATTAAGTATTGAGAATTATAAAATGAAGCAAAAAAAATTTATATTCCTGCAAAGATTAGAAACCAACAATGCAGATACTCTTTTTTTTTTTTGGTGCCGGGGATCGAACTTGGGTCCTCATGCTTGGGAGGTAGGTGGCGGAACCACTGAGCTAAATCCCTGGCTCCAATACAAATACTCTGGTATAGAAGCATGTCTTCTATCAGTTGAGTTCTCCTAATGCTGTTAGATGTAACAGTCAGTTAAGGAGGAATTGCTTTGCTTGGATGACACCACGGGTAGTAAGGAGAAAGCTACTCCCTTTGTTGGAAACCACTCTTGCCACTAAACAAGGTAGAGGAGCCTACATTTGTTTTGTTTCAGTATTGGATTGCTGTCCTTGGTTCTTTGGTTTCTGTTTCTGTTTTATTCCATGTTGCAAACCAAACTTCAAGGTCAAGGCCAAATATGACAAGACTGACCTTGAGGCTTCTCTGGATTGAAGGTAACAAGCACTTCTGTCTTTTGTTGTTAGATTTGGTCGACTTTTTAATATTACATAACAAGATACATAGAGCTTTTGTGAGCACAATGAATTTATCATTACCCTTGCTTTGTAGAAACAAAATGTCCAAGCTTGATGGAAAAAAATATACGAATCACATGGATTTGACTACATTTAAAACATTGTCAGAGACTCCAGGCTACATCTCTCTCAGGCCAGACAGGCAGCAGCCAGGCCATCAATGGCACCTTCATTGCCTATGTCCCATAATTTTTTTTTTAGTCTGTATGTGTGTAAACCACATAAAACAGTATCCTGTAAATGCATCCATTATGTGCAGGACATTTTCGGTTTTATTTTGTATATGATTTGAAATATACATAATTTATATAGAAATTAATTCCCATTGAAATGTTGATTAAATTTAATTAATTATAATGTATAAAGTAATTTAGAATTGGTATCCAGCCAATATTCAGATTTGTCTTTGAAGAATATGGAATGTCTTTCCAATTATTCATTCAGTGGAGTTTTGTGATTTTCTTTTCTTCTTCTTCTTCTTTTTTTTTTTAAATTGTACCAGCGTTCATATTTCGGTCCTTGTGCTTGAGATGCAGGGGGCTGAACCACAGCTAAATCCCTGACCCTGTGATTTTCATTGAATAGGAAATCTCAAGATCATTTGTAGATACTTTGTGTTGGTTTGTTATTACTGGCTTTCTTTTCTTCAGTAGTGATTTTTAGATTTTTATTTAGCAGTCAACCTCTTTATTGAACTTAGATGAATTGGTACTGTTTTCCAGGTGGGTGTCTTGGATTTTTGAGCAGGTTACAAGATACAACAGTGGTGGCAGACCTATGGCACATGTACAGCAGTGGGCTGATTGTATTGTTGAAAGCTTTAAAATCATCATCACTGTAGCCCATCATCACTGGGCTGTAGTTGTGTAAATGGATCTGGAAGATTGAAGTCAATAGTTTTTAGTTTTCCTTTGATTTTTGCCTTGTAGAGGGAGACTGACCTGGTCAGATTTCTTCCTCTGACCTTCTCTGCATTTTACTAAGACCTGACATCTATTTCCGTATCTTAGAGGCTTCCCTTTTAGTGACTTCAGATAGATTACTATTACCTAGATAAGATTATATTATTTTTACTAGGCCATTCCTTTAAGATGTTTATATTTCAGATTCTTTTTTTTATAAAAAAGAGACATACCCAGGTTGTCTTCAGAGATGTTTTATGTCAGGGGCGTGTGTATAAGGCTTCCAAGCCTGGCGCATTTAGTTGTCCTCCAGGAAAAAAAATGAAGCATGTGGGTTCCAAGCTTAGTGTCTCGGCTGTCTGGCTTGTGTCCAACATTTGTCTTGTTGAAGGAGAACTGAGTGGCTTCAGTTGCTCCTGTTAGAATATAGTTTTGCTTCATCTAGACCTTAATTTGGCATTGCATTGTGGGGCTTTTTGGTAAACAATCTGAGAAGGTGCTATATTTCACTTACTCGGGTTTTCATGCATTAGCATGCCCAGCTTGGCCAGATAGCATTCATATCTCAGAGTGGTGGTGGGAGAGGGAGAAATGAATAGAACTGTGGCTTCTTTATTTACCAACAAAGCTAGGTTACTAAGAAATACCATTAGCACTGGTAGCCTCAAACCCTTATACTGTCTCTTTAATGAGCTGTGCTGTCCCCTGATCCTAGGGCCTAAAACTCACTTGGGCCCTCTGATGCCCAAAGGCACTCCAGATAACCTCCTGCCTTTTTTTTTTTTAAACCTCTTGGAATGGAAATAAACAAAAACAAAAACTAAACAAAAACTCTTGGTAGCAGGGATTGAACTCAGGACTTTGCACTTACCAGGCAGGCATGGCACCACTGAGCTACATCCCCTGCTCCCTCTTACTTTTTTCTGGCCCACCTTGTAAGGTTATTTTCTTAAATAACCAATTAAAGACAGGAGAAGTAAAAAATTGTTAAATTTGAGGATGTTGAGTACTTGCTGCCTAGCATAAAGCCTTCAGCAGTGGGGCACCAAAGCCTACTCCTTTTGTTTCCCTTTTCTTAATCAGCTAAGTTTAGGGGGAGAAAATTTAAGTGGGAGGTAAAATCTCACCCTACCAGCTGCAGGAAGCTATCAAAGAGACCAAAAGGAACAATTGAAAAAGCTGACTACAGTATGTAAGTCAAAAGACTGATATGAGTGAGTTAATTTCCTTATCTCTCCTTTCTGGAGGATGGAGTCTGACTAAGTGTCCTTGAGCTGCGTCAGTGTCCCCACCCTCTCATCTCCTTGCTTGGCTGGAGAGCTCTCTGTAAAGGTCTAGAGATGTGTAATTAGAAGCTTGATGATACCAGGTAATGGTATCCTCCCTCAGTGTAGGCTCCACAGAAGACTGAGATGCATACTTCAGTGGGGTTGGTCATATTTCACATTTTTTACATTCCTTAAGAAGTGCCCTTCAAAATGATATGGGAGTTAGATTTTGGAATCATTAGTGATAGCAGTTACAGTAATTTACCCTTACATGGTGGCGATATAGTTAAGACCTTAGCAAATGCCTGAAACCATGGATAGCAACGGATCCTATACTATTATACTGGTTTTCCTATACTTACTTATGATAAAGTAAATTAGATTAATAACAAATAAGAACAACAATACACTGTGACAATTATAACTATTCTCAAAACATCTTACTATTGCCTTTAATATTACCTATTATCTTACTACTTACCTTTTCACTTAAAAGAGGTTCTTGATGTCTTCTCTTTGCCATATCTCAATTCCCAGTGTCACTACTCTTGGGCCTTAGGGCCATAATTAACTAAAATAAGGCTTAGATGGTTGTATAAATTCCATAGTACTGTGACAGTCGATTAATGAGATTGCTAGGAAGTGAGGGGTTTATAATGTATACAGCAGATTTGCATTGGACAAAGGGATAATTCATGTTCTGAGTAGGATGGGGCAGGGAAGTATAGGACAACTTGAGATTGCATGACACTACTGAGAATGGTATACAGTTTAAAACTTAAGAATTGTTAATTTCTGGAGTTTTATAGTGAATATTTTTTAGCTATGGTTGACCATGAGTAACTAAAACTATGGACAATGTACCTGGGGGCTGGGTTTGTTTTTTCAGAGTATGTTTGGTGGTTTTTCATATAGCCAGAAATTCAGAATATCGTGAGTGAATATGCTGTGTGTTGAGGTTGTAAGTTTGATCTGAAGACAGTTTCCATGACAAAGTTCAGAAATGCTTTGTGGAAAAGCAGCGTTCATTCATTCATCCAACGAGTAATACCAAGCACATACCCTGACAGGCCCTCCCCTGGGCGTGGGAGATACTGACGTTTTAGTTAGCGGAGACAGGCTGGCAGCAGTAATAAAACAAGCAAAAGAACAGTTGCTAAATTAATAAAATTTTTGGAAAAACGCTTTAAAGAAGAGGCAGTGGAAAGGGTGCCAGTAGGTTGGTATTCGAGAGGTTAAGTCAGGCCTCTGGAAAAGACTATTTGGCTAGATATCTGAGAGATACAAAGAGCAAAGTCATATCTCATGTTCTGGGTGGTAGAAGCAGTAAATAGATTGCTGAGTAGCAACAAGGTTTCAGCAACGTCATAGAAGCAATGCGGGGTGGATGGAGCCCAGGGGCGAATGATGTGACCTGGCTGGTGAGCAGGCTCTGACCCTGAGGGTGGTGGGAAGCAGCTGGGAGCGTTGGCCTGTCGTAGTCTGTGTTTTGAAGGGTCATACCAATTTGTATTTGTAACTTAGGGCACATGTTAATTAACCAGTGGGTTGTGGGGAATAGATACATATCTTTGAATGTACTTGTGCTGAATGATACTGCAAGAAGGTAGGAGAGAGCAATGGCAGGGCTGCCTGAGTGACATGCTGTCACCCTGCACACAGGCCAGGAGAGAAACAGACACTTATTTTTAGTAGTATTTGAATTTTATCACATTGCATATATTTTTAAAAGCCTCTTTATTAATAAACCATTTATATGTATGATTTAATTTTTATGCAAAGCATATATCTTGTGTTGATGAAAACACAAAGGGACCTTTATATTGATTTCTTCCTCCAAGATAATTTGTAGATGTTTAGATGCTGCTTGGTGTTTGAATTTTTATGAAATCCAAGCATTGACACTTGAGTGCTTTGGATGAGTAGAATATACTGTTTTCATAGGTGACATTTTGCCTTTCTGTTTCAAATTACATATTTGTTCCTTTCTCCAGGCGACCGAAACAGATGTCAAAATCGGTGTGTGCACTCGAGCCTACCATCTACTTGTGAAGAAAGTGGGCTTTAATCCAAACGACATCATCTTTGACCCCAACATCCTCACCATTGGTACTGGGTTGGAAGAACACAACTGGTATGCCGTCAATTTTATCCATGCAACCAAAGTCATTAAAGTAAGTATGGGTATTTTTTCCTCTTCCACCTATGACCAAGCTCAAATCATCGCAGGGATCTAGTGAATGGTTGAGTGTAGCATGTATTTATACTCTAGAAATGTTGACTCTTCTTGTTTTTCTAATGTTTGGGGAAATTTTTTTCTTTTATGCAATGCTATTTTAAATTGCAAAGTATAGCACAAACCTTGGAGAATATATAAGACATGAATATAGGATATAATAAATAACTAGGACACAGAAAATAGCTTTCACTTAGTCCAGAATAGCATATGGCTAATGCTTCGTGTCTCTCTTTTTCTGGGTACCCTTCATTCTGATTGCATGAAGTAGCCATAATCCTGATTTTTAGGATTCTGATACTAGATTGTTACTTTTTTCTTAATAACCGAGATATTAACTGTGTTTGTACATTCCCAGATGAGATTGAACATGAAAACAGTCTGTCTTGTTTCAGCTTCGTTTAGGCATGAGTTACATTGCTGTGGGCCATGTTATTTAGTGTTAATGAATCAGCCCTTGCAGGCACCTACCCACATTTCCTTAGGGTCAGTGTTTCAGTGTTCCCTAATTCAGAATCTTCAGTGGGCAGAGCTACCAAGGAATTAACAATCAACTGAGTTATCTAAGCAATATAGTTCAGTTTTGTCTGTTTTTGAGCTTAATGTAAAGAGAATCATAAAACACTTAATGCCTTTTCTCCTTATCCAGTTTCATTTTTAGAGATTTATCTGTGTTGCTATAACTGTCACTTTTTCATTTCTATTGTATAATATTCCATTGTGTCACTGTGCTACAATTAGCCATTCTATTAATGAACTCCTGGTTTGTTTGCAGTTTTTTAGGGCATCATGAACAGTGCTGCTGTGAACATTCTCGCCTCTGTATCTTAGGCACATGTGTGAGTTTCTCTGTAGGATACCCCGAAGTGGAGTGATTAGGTCATAATAATACATAGTGGCAAGCTGTCTCCCTGAATGCTTAAGCTAGTTTGTATTTCAGCCAACAGCAAGAGTTCTTATTGTTCCACACGCCTACCAATACTTGGTATTGTCTTAGGCTTGGTAGGAAACTCAGTTGCCTTTTGTTCTTTTATGATTGGTGAAGTTCATAAAGAATTGGAGTGTTCATTTAGGGTACTGCTAGTAGGGAATGTGTGTGCCCTCTGTTCCCTTTTTCCATTGTTTATCCAGCAAAAAATTCTGGAAATACTGACTATATTTTGTGTCCTTTCAAGGTGTTACAACTGTATCCAGAGATAAAGTAGAATTTTGTGTTTTATTTTTCCTTAGGTAGATTAAAGTCTAGTAAGAAGAACTACGAAGCTGTGCCTTTTGTGATATTGTAATATAGAAAATTTTGCTCTAATAGCATCAAGCTCTGAATTAGTTTGATCTTTATATGTTTTTTATATGTTTTTTACTTTCTGCTTTTATATATAACACTTAAGAGATGTGATTGATAGCTGCTTTTGGCAATATAGGAGAATCTTTTCACATTTTGAAATCTTTGCCAGGAAACACTACCTGGAGTCAGAATAAGTGGAGGTCTTTCCAATTTGTCCTTCTCCTTCCGAGGAATGGAAGCGATTCGAGAAGCAATGCATGGGGTTTTCCTGTACCATGCAATCAAGGTATGGTGGCTTACCTCCTTGTGCTTTGAATCCAGCTTTTACTTAGGATGAGGTTTGCAAACTCACCCGTAGGCTAACACTGACTTGCTCCCAGTTTCTGTCGATGAGGTTTTATTGAGGCACAGCCACCCTGTTCATCTGTATATTGTCTGCTTTTAGGCTACAATGGCAAAGTCAAATAGTGATGGCCAGGGCCGTGGACTGAAATAGTTTTCTCTGGTCTTTGGTTTAGAGCATCACTGGAAGTCCTCACTTTTGTTTTTATTGCCCTTAGTTTGGTATGGACATGGGGATAGTGAATGCAGGCAATCTCCCGGTGTATGATGACATCCATAAGGAACTCCTTCGGCTCTGTGAAGATCTCATCTGGAATAAAGACCCCGAAGCCACCGAAAAGCTCTTACGTTATGCCCAGGTAGAAAAGTGCCCAGTGGATACCTGTTTCCTGTCTTTGAATACTCTATTTAGAGTTATTGGACCCATATTGTAGAGTAGAAGTAATATTTAATCACATCTTTGGATCACTGAAGATTTCTGCAAAGCTCCAGAGGCGTTTCAGTTAGGGTGAGGAAGGAGAAACAGATACTCTTAGGCTGCTTTAGCTTTCTGAACTTTGGTTTCTTTAATGTGTGAAATGTATTTTTCTTAAACCAGGAAATATAATTAATTGTAGAAGTTTTATAAAGTCTGGTTAAGCAAATGAAGAAGATTAAAATCACTCATAGTCCCACCACCCAGAGTTAACCACTGTTGAGATTCGGTTATAATTTCTTGTGTTTTTGTTTGTTTTACTTGTAAATGTTTGTACACACACACACACACACACACACACACACACACACACTTTTACAAAAATAGAATTGTATTCTTGAATCTTTTGGTAACATTCTTATTTAGCAGTATCCTGGGGTACTTTTTCATTTTATTCATTTTTCTCTTGCACTGTTTAAAAAGACTCGAATTTTCTTGTATGGTGCATTAGCATTACCTGGCTACTGTTAGGCTTTCAGGTTTGTGTTGAGATCTGATCCCTCTGTACAGGGTTCTGTAGTTCAAAGTTTGAAGTCAATACACATTTTTAAAGTTTTGAAATTTTTATTAGTACATGTTTGCCTTATGATTGCATTCATTGTGGTACATTAACACATCTTAACGCTTTCTTCTTCCCCTTCACCTCCATCTCTTGGTCCCCTTCTTTTTCATAGATCTCCCTCTGTCTTATTACCTGCCTTTTATTTTGCTCTTTAACTGACTTATGCTTTGAGTTTGTTACATAAAAGAAACCATGCAATATTTAAATGTTTGTATTTTGATTTATTTCATTTAACATTGGCCTCAAAATACATCCATTTTCCTACAGATGACTGAAATTTATCCTCCTTCATTGCAGAGTAGTACTCCTTTTATACATAAATTCCACATTTTCTTTATTCATACTTTAATGGAAACATGTAGACCAAGATTTAGCTATTGTGAATTGTGCTGCGATAAATATGGCTATGCATTTATTACTGTAACATGATGTCTTTAATTAAAAAAAAAATACCAAAAGGAGAATAGCTGGGTCAAATGAAATTTCTATTTTTATTTTTTTGAGGAATCTCCATACTAGTTTACCTTCCCACCAACAGCATAGAAGCTTTTTCCCCACACCTTGCCAACATTTATTATTTGATTTCTTGATGGTAGCCATTCTTTCTGGAATAAGAAGAAATGTCAACTTTGTTCTTATTTGGATTTTTGTAGTAGCCAGAGTTATTGAACATTTTTTTTTCATGTATTGGCCATTTGTTCTAAGAAGTATAAATTAAGTCTACACATTTGGTCTGAGAAAGTGAGAATTAAAAATAGAAGATTCAAAAATCATCCTAGTTTCTACTTAAATGTTGATCACAGTGCTAGGCTCATTAAGTATCTATCTTCAATTCTGTTTCCTAGAATTCACATTAAGGAAAGATGAGATCATTTCATTAAAAAAGTACTAATTTTAGTCTGTTTATGAGTAATGGCAAAAAAAGACATTTTTCCTGCAATGTGTTTTGGAAAGTAATGGGCTGCTTTTCTGTGTATTGCTAACTTTTTAATGTTTTCCATGTTAGACTCTGAATTTTGCTCTGATAAAACTACTAACTTTCTGTTCCACAGAAGAGTAGTAGAATATTCTAGAAGAAGGATAGGAGAATGTAGGATTAACTGCAGCCTAGATTGATCAGCCTTCCTAAGACTTAAATTCTGAAACTGCTGTGGAAACCTCAGACTGTGTCACTTGTGGACATGACCCTCCTCTCAGTTCCCTGAAACATTTCTAGTTTCTTGTGGACTCAGGACGGAATGTCATGGTCATGGTTTTTGCAAATACAGTTAAGTTCTGCTTTTCAACTAATTACATAAGAAATAATCGCTAAGGCCTTTTCCCTATTTCCAGGACTATTTCTGCTCACAGAGACAAAGTACTTACCTTTTTTTTTTTTAGTCTTGGAGCATGGAAACAGGCACTAAGCACCATTCAGTTTTTAGTCACATCCTGTCTTCTGCTTGGCAGGCACTGTATTAATAATTGACTGAGATTGGGGTACTACTGCAGGCCAGCAGACCTGTAGAATTTGTGAAGTTACAGTATTGGGTAAATTGGTGTGTTTATTCATCTTTTCCCCCTACTCGTCCAGAGTAAACAGCTCTCTCACTTTGGAAAAAGGGGCTCCTCATTTCTGAGACCATTTTTATTTAAGGTTTTGTTGGCATTGTATTTTGTCATTCTTTCGGTCTAAGTTCAGTTTTAGCACTTGTTTACAAGGTTTTGTTTCTATATACCATATTGAGCTGCTTAGAGGTTTTGCCCTTGGAGCACAGCTGAACTGAGGGAAATCTTAATAGTATTTACAAGAGAGAACATTCCATCATATAAGAAATTTTGTCCTTCTTAATGTAACCATACAGCTTATTATAAGCCATTGGCCCCTCTGTCAAGTAGGCTGAGATTCAAGACTTGATTACTATCAAGGGAATTAATAACCAAAGCAAGTACACTTTACTACTTCTCATGAATTCCTTCCTCTGTAGCAATTCTTAATGTATCGAGTGTATGGGGCATGGAAAGTAGGAATGTTGTGACGTATGTAAGAGTTGAAGATTAATTTTTCTTTACAGGAAAACAGTTACCTCTTTTTGTTATTAAGTGGTGAAGTCTAAATCTAAGTTCCTGATACATCGCTGAAAATGGTGGGAAGAGTACTGCCTTTGGTCTTCCAAGACTCTGTAATCTCATGTTTAGGGAATACCAGGCTGTCTTTGAATCACAGTTCCCCTAATTTGGTACACATTGACCTATGGTGAGTTTATTTTTGGCAGTAAGTTTCAGGTGCCATGGTGCCATATGCTTCATGGCATTTCAGTATTAAATGGTACTGTGATGGAGCCACTTTTGGGCTCAAAGTCTCTCTGCTGTGCAGAGGATTGCTTTCGAGTAATTGGATCCCCAGAATTTGCATAATTTCCCCCCCCCCCCCCCCAAC